ATAAGAGTTGATTGTTAAGTTTTCAGGAATTTTGCAAATCAGCTTTTAAATTCAGCTATATCATATAAGGATTAGACTAAATGTCCCAAATGCTCTTTCAACCCTCAAACCAAACCAAACTCACTGCCATCTAGTAGATTCTGACTCACAGGGACCCCATTGGGTTTCTGAAGCTGTTAATCTTTACAGAAGTAGATTGCCCCATCTTCCTTCCACAGAGCAGCTGGTGGGTTTGAACAGCTGCCTTTCTGGTTAGTAGTCAAATGCCTTATCCACTAAGCCACCAGAATTCCTTCTTTCAACCCTAAAACCAAAATAACAAGCCAAACTCACTGCCGTCAAGTTGACTGAGACTCATAATGATCCCTCCTTGGGTTACTGGGGTAGTATCTCTACAGAAGTAGATTGCCCAATCTTCCTTCCGAGGAGTGGCTGGTGAGTTTGAACCACCAGCCTTCTAGTTAGCAGTCAAATGCCTTAGGCACTATGCCACCAGAGCACCCTCTTCCAACCCTAGGGTTTTATAATTCTGTGTTATTACAGTGTTGTCCAGCTCAGAAAATAATTAAATGGAAAAGAGAGAAGTTGAGAGCTTTAAAAAGTAAGGTCTTAAGTGGATGAAGGATAGGTTTAAGAGGAGTATCTGGATGACTGGAGGTGGTGGAGAGGAGAGACATTGCCCTTGACTTCCCTATTGACAAAGAGTAGGTGACCTTTTTCCTTACCACAGGGATGATTATTGATGACACATTTCCTCTAGATATTCCCTTTCTCTCTCTACCATCATTACTGGCTAATTAATTATCTGTAGGCTAGAGACTGGGGTCTCAGCAAAACTAATGAGCTGTTGTTCTCCATGGGACAGGAGTCCTGGGATTCCTCCCTCTACCTTCATACTGTGTCTTCATTTTTATATCTGGCACCAAAAAAGAAGCTAACTTCTCCCCAGACTGAAGGGAAGATTGTTGACAAAGAACTTCATGGCAAAGAGGTACCTCTAACCTCCCTTGGCCTCACCTTCCCAGCAGAAATATGATGGGCCATGGGTGGTGGGCTCTGCAGTCACTTGGGTTTAAATATCAACTCTGGTGCTTACTAGCTCAATTGCCTTGGGCAAATTATTTAACCTCTCTTTGCTTCGATTTCTTTATGTTAAAAGGGAGATGATACATAGTTGTTGTGAGGGACAATCAGAGGTGTGCTGGTAATGTTTAACAACAGGTTTGGAGAGGAGGGAGGCAGAACCCTAATTTGTGTTGTTTACCAATTTCCATAGTGAAAATATTCACAACACAGCTATTTACATTGGGAACCAGTTACCAATGGTTTAATAACTGGGTCACAAAATTCCTGTGAATTTAATAATCAAGAGCAGCTCCAAGCTAAAGCTCATTGTAGTCTTGTTGGACTCGACTCATAGCAACCCCTCCTTGGGTTTCCGAAGTGTTATCACTACAGAAGTAGATTGCCCCATCTTCCTTCCAAGGAGTGGCTGGTGGGTTTGAACCACCAGCCTTCTGGTTAGTAGTCAAATGCCTTAGGCACCATATCACCAGAGCTCCCAAGAGCAGGTATAAGGTATGAGCAGCCTTACATAAGCCGTGTTGGGGAAAAAATGGCTGATAATAAGCATTAACAATCTTTGTTATGAGCAGAGATCTAACTACCACTCAAAGGTGCCATACCTCTTTAGTTTTAGTTTTTCTCTGATATCCAAATGCAAGCTGTTGTTGTCAGCTGCTGTTGAGTTGGCCTCTGACTCTTGGCAACCCCATGCACAATGGGAAAAAAAAAAAAGGTTGCTCAGTTCTCTACCACCCCCACGATTGGTTGCAGATCAGACCATTGTGATCCAAAGGATTTTCATTGGCTGATTTCAGAAGTAGACAGCCAGGCTTTTCTTCTTAGTCTACCTTGGTCTGGAAGCTTTGCTGAAACCTCTTCAGCATTATAGCAACACACAAGCCTCTACTGACAGCCAGGTGGCAGCTGCGCATGAGGTGTGTTGGTAGGAATCAAATTCAGGTCTCGAGCGTGGAAGACAACAATTCTACCATTGAACCACAGAAGACCCCATAAATGTAAGCTTACTCACTCTACTCACTGCCATTGAGTCAATTCTGACTCATAGCAACCCCCATTGGGTCTCTGAAGCTATAAATCTTTACAGAAATAGATTGCCCCAACTTCCTTCTGGGAAGCGGCTGGTGGGTTTGAACTGCTGCCCTTCTGGTTAGCAGCTGGATGCTGTAGGCTAGGCATTAGTTAAGAGCTTTCTCATGGGGTATCTGGCAGCAGAGCACCAAGGAGATTTTTGTTTGATCGGAGATAAATAGAGAATTTATTCTTCATCTATGAGTTATCAGTTTCCATGTGTCCTCAGTAGTGGAGCACCAGTTTTGGAGTTAAACAGGGCCTAAAATTCTGGCCCTTGCACATCTTGGCTGGGTAACCTTAGACAAGTTACTTAACCTCTCTGGTACAATCCATTTTTGGGTAAAACTGGGATAATAATATGTACTGTACAGGGTTGCTGTGCCAGGTGTCCAGGGAGCTGCTTAACACCATGCCTGGCACATAAAGAAGCACTCGACAGATGGTAGCTACTAATAGCAATAGCAGCTAAGTATCACTAGATTGTCATAAATGCCCTACCCACAGCTCTTAGCACAATGCTGGCATCTTTAACCTCAAGAAGTGAATAATTGCATAAATGAGTAATGAATGTGTTAAAGGGGAAAAGACCACCAGAAAAGGGTAAATGAAAGTGAATGTGGAAAAGACAGAGATTAAAAGAAGGGGAGAGTCAGTAAGGAAGATGTAAACCAAAGACATTGAGAAACAAGACAGAGAAAGAAAAGGAGCGAAATGCCAAGAGAATGAGAGAGTTGAAATGCAGGAAAATGATTAGGATGATGGTTGATGGGTAAATAGGAAACAATTGGCTATTGTTTAGGGTGATGTGATAGTCAAAGAACTTTATATTATAAAGAAAACAATGAAGAGAACGACTGCTAATGGGTATGAGGTTTCTTTCAGGAGTGATAAAAATGTTCTACCATTAGTGCTGACTGCACAACTTTGAGAACATACTAAAAAACCACTAAATTATATTCTGGTAAAGGGTTAATTTTGTAGCATGCAAATTGTATCTCAAAAAAAGGAACGATTAATTTGTTGTTGTTATGTGCTGTTGAGTCGGCCCGACTCACAGCAACCCCTCCTTGGGTTTCTGATGCGGTATCACTATGGAAGTAAGATTGCCCAACCTTCTTTCTGAGGAGTGGTTGGTGGGTTTGAACTGCCAGCCTTCTGGTTAGCAGTCAAGTGCCTTAGGCACTATGCTACCAGAGCTCCTAATTAAGCATTCAAAAAAAAGTCAGAATGGCGGTTATGTCTTGGAGGGGTAGTAAATTGACATGATCAGGGAGAGACACATAGGAGCTTCTAAGACACTTGTAACATTTGCTCAATTACTTAACCTGGCTGATAGGCATATGACATGTTGGTTTTATTTAAAAAAAAAAAAAAAACTAAACAGATTTCCTTTATTCACACACCTGTTTGAATTATGTAACAACATATTTTTTATTTTAATATCGTGTAAAGGGGAAAAGAAAATGAGAAAAAGAAAAGGAACAAACAAAGAAAGAGCAAAAGCAGAAATTCCCAACAAAAAGAGAGATGCCATGGAGATTAAACAAAAGCTGGAGAGAGAGCCGGTGATGGGGAGATTCTCATACTATCCTATAAGTTTCCACGGCACTACTTTCTCACTTGTGGACACCCCTGTCCCCTAAATGACCTTCCTAGTCTTCAAAGGAAATTTAATGGTGCAGCAGTTAAAATGCTCAGCTGCTAACCGAAAGATCAGCCATTTGAACCCAACAGCTGCTTCATGGGAGAAAGATGATACAGTCTGCTTCCTTAAAAGATTTACAGCCTTGGAAACCCTGTAGGACAGATCTACTCTGTCCTATAGGGCTTCTATGAGTCAGAATGACATGAGGGCAGTGGGTTTGGTTTGGGAGGAAGATCTAAGACCAGAGAACCCTGAGTCTTTGTCTCTCAACTGCCAGAGTACTTGCAGCCTCCAATCTCATCTCCCAGCTGAGATGACATGTAATCTCTTTGGATTACAATACATCTCTCTTTCATAGGAAAAGTCTAGTTACCTACTCCAGAAAACTTGCCCTGATACATCCACCCAAATTGGTCCCTCATCTTACAAAGCCTTTTCTCTCATTCACCCAGTATCTTTGTATCAGTTAGCCTTCAGATTTTGGGATCTTTTGATAATATTCTCATGAGCTCTTCAGTAACTTAAAATGTGCCTGGGGCCACACTTCCCCACTGCCTGTAAGCTTCTCCTGGTGGGGACTGAGAATGTGGGCCAAGTCTCCCAACCAGGACATCTGGTTTAGCAAACAGGCTGGTGATGTGGCCAGGACAACTGAGCTGATCTCTCAGTGAAGGTGGATCATTGAAGCAAGGGAAAATCTTTTATAGATAAAACGTTTTGTCCCTAATAAGTCCCCTTGCAAATCAAGAGTTTTAAAATAAATGGAATACAAATAGTTCTACAAAAGCCATCCCAACCAAAAGAAAATTATCAACCCTATAGAGATAATTTATAATCAGAAAATTTCTCCACCAAATAAATAAGGGACAATACAACACTTAGAAGAGCTCTCCAAACATAAAACCAAACTAAAACCCATTGCCATTGAGTCAGTTCTGACTCATAGTGACCTGACATGTTGTTGTTGTTGTTGTTGTTTTTGTTAGGTGCCATAGAGTCGTCTCCAACACATAGTGACCCAACATAGTTACACTCAAAAAACATGTGCTGAATGAATGAATGAATCATAAATTAATCCAAAGCATTGGCCTGCTTTACCTTCATTCAGTAGATCAGAGCTATCAGAGGTATCCATCTGTTTCCCAGCACATTCTAGGTGAATTCTTACAAAACAGGATGGAACACACTCACCTGACAGCTCACCTCCCTTTCTAGCATCTAAAGGAAAAGGCCATGGTCAACCAGAGTTCCCCAGTGGGCTTTCTCCTTCTGGGCTTCTCTGAACACCTAGGACTTGAAAAGATTCTCTTCGTGGTTGTCTTGACTTCCTACCTCCTGACTCTGGTGGGCAACACATTCATCATCCTGCTGTCTGTGCTGGACCCCAGACTCCACTCTCCAATGTACTTTTTTCTCTCTAACCTCTCCTTCTTGGACCTCTGCTTCACCACAAGTTGTGTTCCCCAGATGCTGTTCAACCTTTGGGGCCCAAAGAAGACCATCAGCTTCCTTGGCTGCTTTGTCCAGCTTTTCATCTTCCTGTCCCTGGGGACCACTGAATGCATCCTCCTGACAGTGATGGCTTTTGACCACTATGTGGCTGTCTGCCAGCCACTCCATTATTGCACCATCATCCACCCCCGCCTATGCTGGCAGCTTGTGACTGTGGCCTGGGTCATTGGGCTGGTGGAGTCGGTGGTCCAGACACCATCCACCCTCCACCTGCCCTTCTGCCCCCACCGGCAGGTGGATGATTTTGTGTGTGAGGTCCCAGCCCTAATTCGACTCTCCTGTGGGGACACCACCTACAATGAGATCCAGATGGCTATTGCCAGTGTCTTCATCTTGGTCATGCCCCTCACTCTCATCCTTGTCTCTTATGTGCTATCACCCGGGCAGTGATGAGGATTAATTCTGCAAAGAGGAGGAAGAAGGCTTTTGGAACCTGCTCCTCCCATCTCATTGTGGTCACCCTCTTCTACAGCTCAGTTATTACTGTCTACCTCCAACCCAAAAATCCCTATGCTCAAGAGAGGGGCAAGTTCTTTGGTCTCTTCTATGCAGTGGGCACTCCTTCCCTTAATCCTTTCATATACACCCTGAGGAACAAAGAGGTAAAGAGAGCACTCATGAGGTTACTGGGGAAGGATGTGGACCCCAGACAAAGATGAGGGTTAGCTGTTTAATGGGCTTCAAGATTGAGATATTCTTCATGCTTTTGTCAGTAAGCTCGAGTTCTCCACCCTACTGCCTTCTGCATACCCATCATGCCCCTGCAAAGGATGATAGTGAGTGTGTGCATGTGTCCATGTAGATGTATGTGTATCTACCTGTGTGTGTATGTGTTTATGCGTGTAAGAGAGATTGAGGATGGGGTTTGTTGTTAGCTGTCATCAAGTCAGCCCCCAACTCATGTTGAGGACTCGCACAACAGAATAAGACTGTCGTGATCCATAAGGTTTTCACTGGCTGATGTTTTGGTACATTGACAGGCCTTCCTGCCTAGTGTGTCTTAGTCTGGAAGCTACACAGTAACCTGTTCAGTATCACAGCAATATGCAAGCCTGCAATGACAGACAACAGGTGGCAGTACTTGAGGAACAATGACCAGAGGTCAAACCCAGGTCTCCTGCCTGGAAAGCAAGAATTTGACCTCTGAACCACCAATGGAAACATCCTCTGAATTAAATGTAATCTTTCCTCTTTTTCCCTTTTTAGCATTCTTCACCTCCATGATTGTGTCCCTAATTTTATCATTTCTATTTCTATCTTCCTTTTCATATCACTATTTCTTTGCCTCCATTTCTAATCCCTACCTTACCTTCTTTTTTTCTCCCTCAATTCTGTTCCCACCTGCTTATATATCTCTTGCTTTGCATTCTTGTTTTATTTTATCCTCTAAGTAGCAGCAATAGGTGGGAGAACTGAAGTTCAGATAAGGGCAGAAACTCACCCGAGAATATACAAGTGTCAAATACACATTGCTTTTATACCTTAGTCATTTATCTCAGTATCTTTGGGTTTGAAGCCAAAACAGAGCCTTAAGGAGAAAGTTTAACTTCTTCAGTCCTAGCATTTTTTTCCTCTTACCATACTTATTCAATATGTATGTTGAGCAAGTAATCCATAAATCTTGACTACAGGAAAAAGAATGTGGCATCAGGATTGGAGAAAGACTCATTAATAACCTGTGATATGCAGATGACACAACCTTGCTTGCTGAAAGTGAAGATGACTTGAAGCACTTACTGATAAGATCAAAGACTACAGCCTTCAGTATAGATTACACCTCAACATAAAGAAAACAAAAATCCTCACAACTAGACCAATAAGAAATATCACTATAAATGGAGAAAAGATTGAAGTTGTCAGAAATTTCATTTTATTTAGATCCACAATCAATGCCCATGGAAGCAGCAGCCAAGAAATCAGACTACATATTGCACTGGGCAAATCTGCTGCAAAAGACCTCTTTAAAGTGCTGAAGAGCAAAGATGTCTCTTTGAAGACTAAAGTGTGCCTGACCCAAGTCATGGTATTTTCAGTGGCTTCACATGCATGTAAAAGTTGGACAATGAATAAGGAAGACAAAAGAACAACTGATGCCTTTGAATTGTGGTATTGGCAAAGAATACTGAAAATACCCTGGACTGTCAGAAGAACAAACAAATCTGTCTTGGAAGAAGTACAGCTATAATGCTCTTTAGAAGCAAGAACAGCCAGACTTCATCTCACCTACTTTGGTCATGTCAGAAGGTACTAGTCCCCGAAAAATATATCATGTTTGGTAAAGTAGTTGTTGTTGTTGTTATGTGCCGTCGAGTCGGCCCCGACTCATAGCGACCCCTCCTTGGGTTTCTGAGGCAGTATCACTACAGAAGTAGGATTGCCCAAC